GTTTCTCTTCATTGTTCTTAGATAAGACTGTGTGTGTGTGTGTGTGTGTGTGTGTGTGTGTGTGTGTGTGTGTGTGTGTGTGTGTGGGTGGACCCTCAGATGGACTGATGAGTTGTTCTGTTCTGACACCCTGCTGGGCTTGGTGGGTAGAAGCACTGTAAACCCTCGCTGCAGCAGCTGACAGCTCAGCTTTGGAACATGAAGCCTTGTCAAGTAATCAGTTTAAAAAGTCTCAACAATTTCCCATTTCTCATTTACCTTTTTCGAAACAACTTAAACTGTTACAAGAACATCTAAAAGTTTCACATGTTCCTGGTTCTTATGACCAGCAAACAAATCTAGTCAAACATTTTACCAGGAAGATGAGGGACGGGTATCCGATCAGAGCAATAGCCGTGGAGAGCTTGCGCTTGTTTCCTCCGCTGTAAGTGCCAGCTGGCTTGTCTGCATACTTGGATAGCTCCAGCTTTTCTAAAGCCCACTGCACAACCTGGAGTCACACAAAGAAATAGTTAAAGCACAGCAGGAGATGTTTTCACTAAAGGGAAAGTTGCCTGAGATCCTCAGGCAGTTTGGATTCGTTCCAGGGTTGTGTTTGTGTGACTCATGAATGTGTTATCCATTGGGAGGATGTGTATGTTAGAGAGATATAGCAAGCCTCCTCCACAAATATCCTCATATATCTGTAAAGATACAGCAATTACCAGCAAGCATTTGGTAGCTAATAATGACTTTTTTCACCTTCCTTTGAAGAACCTTAAATCATTCCAATTCAGCCATGCTGGACGAGCCTCTTTCAGGTCCAGACTGGCTTCAGTTGTTTGGCTTGCTGCTGTGGTTTGGATCTTTGGTTGTTCTTTGACTTCCTGGACAGGCTGTCCATGAACAGCTGCCTCTAAACATATTGCTGTTTGTGGAGGACGGTTCTCACTGTGACTCTGAAGTATTTGTAAGCATTTTTTATTTGACCTTTATTTATACAGGATAAATGTCATTGCAGTAAATATTTAAACATTTTTTGAAGTTTTCTTGGCTCTAGTGGCCTTGTTTTGAAAGAGCTGAGACAGGAAAGCGGGTAAACAGAGAGAGAAAGAAGACATATAGCACAGGCCACCAGGCATCAGGAAGCCTAAGGCCTCCTTATGTGGGTTGTGTTCAACACCTGCACCATCACAACAGCCTAATAATTCTCATATTGAAGAGAGACCTGTTCCAATGTCAAATAAAACTCATTATTATTTTCAGAGTCACTGTCTCTGTTTCTCATCTGTTCAACTTTAGATGGGGCCAGAATGAGTTCCTCTCTACGCCCACTTCGTGTCGTCACATAGCTCCTATTTACGTCATTTACTGATTCTTAAAGACTGACAGTAATCAGCTATGAGTTTGGCTCCTGAAAACGAACCAAAAATATAGTTAATGAATGGAATAACTACTGTCTCACACAGCCAGGTTTATTCACAGCTTTTTTTTAAAGATGGTTTACAAAAAGTAACAGAGGAGACAAATATTTTTTCACAGCACTAAAGGAGAGATGAAAGATTTCATCAAAATGAATGGCTCAGTTGATCCAGGTTGGCAAGTCTCTACAACAGTAAAAAAGTGTGTGTGTGTGTGTGTGAGACTGACCCTTTCCTGGTCCTTCCAGGGAATGCCCCGAAGGCGAGTGTAAAGCTGCAGGTGCTCCCTGGCAGTCAGGTCATCAAACAGAGCGTCAAACTGTGGACAGTAGCCGATACTCTGCTGGACACGCAGCAGGTCCTTCAGGATGCTGAAAATGTACACATGTGTGAGCGCGCGCGCACACACACACACACACACACACACACACACACACACACACACACACACACACACACACACACACACACACACACCACCTCAATCCTGTAGCACAGTTATGTTTACAGTTATAAACAGATACTTTTAGTCCAACAGAAGCAGAAACATTCATCGCTGCTCTCAGTTGTTCTTTCTGGAATGTCAATGTCAAATTTATTTATAAAGCTTTTAAAAACAGGTTTAAAGTGCTGTAGAATAATGATAATAGAATAAGTCGATGAAAAGAGAAAGAGAAATAATACAAAAAAATATATGTGATAAAATAATAAGCATAAAAATAAGTAAATAAAATAAAAAAAATAAAACATCACAATAGGAAAGTTACAGAAAAGAATAAAAAGGTGTTTTAAGAAGCAATTTAAAATGATCCAGACTGGGCCGATCTAATCTGGAAAGGTAGATTATTCCAGAGAAAAGGAGCAGCAACGGAGAAAACTCCTTTCCTCTGAAGTCGAGTCCGATGGACTTTCAGTGGCAACTCACCACTGATCGTACTTCTTCTTCCTCATCTTCTCTTGGACGACTTAACATGTATATTTCATATTTTCAAATTAAACTACTTCTTGAAAAGTTGCTGCAGAACCCCAGTGGACCTAGAAAGCACGCTTATGCACAACTTGGAGGTGTGTGCACGTCTCCCCAGTTGGAAGCTTGACTATCTCATTTCACTACCAGACCCAACCCTAAGCCCCCTCAGTAAGATTATGCAATGATGATGTATGTTCACTAATGATTAGTGATCTGTCCACCACAGTGCTTCCATGAAAGGTGCTCACAAAATGCCTCTTAAGATACTTGTAGCATTTGTAAATGACAAAGTGGAAATCTAAAACGGATTTTCTGTTTCTGGAAGATGCTCCTCATGGTCCCATCTTCTCCACAGCAACTGGAAAAAATCCAGTATGAAACTGGATTCTACCAGTTATCATCAATCCTTTCCTACACCAGCCTCCAATCACATGTTCTTACTTATAGCTGTGGTGCAGAGCTCCCACACTCACAGTGAGCTAATACAGAAAGGTTAGTGTGGAAAGGCCAAGGCGAAATAACTAACAGCTAGTTGTTTCTAAAAGCCTCAGACTTGAGACATGCTGGATAGAAGAATATATAGATGGAAGGTCAACAGGCCCAGACAGAAGCCATGGTTTGTAGCTGGTTCTGACCTGTTTCTGTTGATGAAAGCCTCTCCTCCGGAGGTGCACTCGTCTCCGGTGAGCATCTTGAACGTGGTGGTCTTCCCTGCTCCGTTAACTCCCAACAACCCGAAGCACTCCCCGGGCCGGACACCAAGACACAGGCGGTCCACGGCCAGGATGCGACCCATCTTCCTGGATTTATACACCTGGCGGGCAGCATAGCAACACTTTAAAGCACCAAGCCTGGCTTACAGTTTAACTTGAACTGGTCTGGTAGAACAGAGAATCAAACCTTTGTCAGGTTCTCGATCTGCAGCATGTCACTGTCAGCGTCGCCCCGCAGCACTCTCTGTCTCTCACAGGCCACGTCTACATCATCATCATCGACAGGCCGGCAGCTGACCGGCACCCTCCTGCAAACAGCCACACATGCCAGGCTGTTCCTTTGGGGATTGTTTCATAGATTCACATGATGAAAAAGAAATAATTAATAAAGGAAAAAAAATGAAAAATTGGTTCTCTGCCTCTTTGTCAACATAACATGGGATTTCTTTGAAGTTTAAGACTCATCTTCCTAATGTCTTAACTGTGAATCTAAAGAGAAACTTTGAAAGAATTTCAGAAAGCACTTTAAAAGATTAGAGGAGATGTCTGATTTGTTTAAAGGGAACCTTAAAAAAGTCAAAATGACTCAAGATGTTTCTTAACAAGACTGAACAGAAATAGGAAAAATATGATTGAAATCATAATCACATTGATTTTCTGAGCCTGTAAAAAAGTGTGAAAATTCAGTTTCTAAGTATTTGCCAGAATTCAGGACAGAGGGCTTTTTGATTTTTAGATACATGACAGTTTACAGAAAAAGAAAAAAGAAAACAAAGTGAAGACATACAAAACTATCAAATAACAACTAACTTCATGTTCACTCAAACCTGAATGTTTCCTCTGCACAGATATTCTACTAATTAACACAAAGTCTCTAAAATATGATGCATTAATATTGCTGTCGTCATGACGACTGTGACTACAGCTTTCTGACAAACTGATACTGGCATAAATAAGCCCCCCAGCTAATCCCTGTTGTGTGCAGTGGCGTCGCGGCTCGTCTGGTGATTCTTATCACACTCACGGTGGTTTCCTCAGGAAGTTGTATTGGCAAAGGATGGTGATAAGGAAGCCAACAAAGCCTTCTATCGTCATAGCAACGAGTCCTCGAGTCACAATATCCCACTCAAATGGAGACTTCATCTTGTCAAACTGGCCTGTAACACACACACACACACACACACACACACACACACGGGGACACACATGGTTCTTTAAGCAGCCTGACCGTCCCCTGCTGGGCCAGCAGGCTCCTGTTGAAGAGGGCCAGCTGTCTGCCAATCAGCCACAGGTGAGAAGTAAAGTGTTCTGTTGCTTGGTGATGATGTGAACTTCCAGGTAAATGACATGGTTGAGGTGGTTCAACCATGTCATTTAGAAGGTTTTGCACATTTGAAAGGAAGTGGAGTGAAGCTCAGCATCCTGCTGCTAGGAGCTGCTGATCATGCTGGAGGAAAAAGATGTTTCTTTGTCTCTCTGGCATTTTGTCTAACACAGAACCCCGGACCTCAGAACTTCTTCTACTAATGGAACGGCCATACAGGAAACATGGGTTCATTGGGATATAAAGGGCAATAAATAAAATTGATTATTATTATTATTATTAAGTTGTGTAACAGTCTGAGCTTGGGTTTATGAAGACCTGGTAGGAATTGCTCTGCCCGCCGTGTGTGGCCAGCTTGGTGCTGTTGGTACCTATTTTGGCGTAGTATTCATTGATGTACTCGTTGTAGGCCATCTCCATCAGACCGTGACCCAGGTTGTAGTTGGGGAAGATGAGGAAGCAGGACTTCAGGTAACTGTTGACTCTCTTCAGATCCTGGAGGACAAGAAAACGATCCAGAAATAAAGATAAAGAAATAGAGCTTCCTGCAGTCATGCACGATCCTTTACTGAGTTTTTTAAAAAAGCTACAGGTTCAAAACCCCAAAAATCTTTGGTCTAAAGCCGTTTTACTGAGAACCTAGAGAAATGACCTGAGGTTTTTCTAGTTCTATGGAGCAAACAGCAAAGTAATGCAATGCTCCCCCTCCTCCACCTATTGCTGCATACTGTTGGTCAGCTGGCTGAAGTAACCTACTTAACTTTAAGTTAAGTAACCTTAACTTAAGTAAGTTAAGTTGAGCATGACAAGGTGCTCAACTTAAGCACCTTGTCATGCTTAAGGTGGATGACACCTTAAGCTACAGCTAATCAGGCCGTTCCCTAGTGTGTCACTTCCTTTAACCTTAGTTTTGTATGTAAGTGCAAAGCTTTCTGTTGATGAAAGCCTCTCTCTTGAGGCTTTCATCAACAGAAACAGGTCAGAACCAGCTACAAACCATGGCTTCTGTCTGGGCCTGTTGACCTTCCATCTACATATTCTATAATGCCTTCTAGAAGGCATTATAGAAGGCCTTACATTATGCCTTCTATAATGTAAGGCATTACATTATAGAAATGTAATGCCTTACATTTCTATAAGGCAGCTTATTGGTCAACCAGCTAGTATCAGTGTAAATAAGACCAAATTTTGTTCCATGTTTGTTTGAGTCTGAATCTAAATGTTATACACTACAGTCATATCTTATATGAATATACATAGATAATATATTTGCAGCAGAAAGCATAATTGTTGCTTTTCAGTTTGAAACATCATCTTCAACAAAACATTAAATTTTACCAACATGTTTTAATAATTGAGTAGAATTAACTTAGACAAATTGATTCTTAAGTTTCATCTGCTACTGCAGCAAGTCATTATTTTAGTTAGCAGTTCATTATTCTACCAATTAGAAGTTTATTTCATACAATATTAGAAATACATTTAAAAATGCAAAAGAATAATTTAATTTCATTTTAAAATAATAAAAGAAAATATAACATAAGATGCAATAACAGCATTCATTTAGTGAGTGCTTCATCATTTGGAGCAAAGGCTGCATCTGCAGATAAAAACCACTTTGTTGGGAATAAATACTTCTGTGTTTTCTTCCATCTCTTTTAGCTGCTTGCATGCTCGTATATATACACACACATATAGGTTTAAAGTTAAGTAGGTTACTTCAGCCAGCCACCAACAGTACGTGCGTGTGTGTGTGTGTGTGTATGTAAGTACACATGAGCGCACTTGCATACAAAGCTAAGGTTAAAGGAAGTGACACACCAGGGAACGGCCTGATTAGCTGTAGCTTAAATTGAAGCCATTTTTGCTGCGTTTGCACATAAGGACAGCATGACGATGGACCAGCGCTGCATTTTAGTCTTAATAAATGGAATTCAGGAATTGAACTCTGACTCTTCTTGAACCTCATACTTTAAGAGCCTAATTGGAGAAAGGATAAATCTCCAGCATCTTCTAACATCACCATGTGAAAAGCTCAGGCCTTTGTGCTGCATATCAACACAGTGCAGGACTCATCTGACTGATTAATAATTGGACAGCAAAATGTGCTTGATATGAGGAGTTTGGGGTTTTAGAGTTTTTTTTTTTATTTTAAATGAAAAATGTTTGTATTTTTTGTAAAGATTTGGCTTAATTACTGTGTTGACAGTTATTCTTTCACCAAATAGTTATTTTCTTATTAACTATTAATTAATTATTAAATGAGTTTATAATTATTTCAATAATCAATTTATCATGAGTACTGTAATTGTTTCAGCTCTAGCTTTATCAAGAAGTATTATTTTCATAAAGTGATCATGCATAATGGTAGTCTGACATCGTGGTTAAACAAGTTATTGATATAAAATCCTAATAATTTGGCTTAGGATGTACAGTTGTAACAGTTAAGCACCTTGTCATGCTCAAACAGCTGCAGGAGGAAGGTGGCCACGGTTGCAGTTATGCCTATGAAGAGGTTGATGACAATGAGGAAGACGTAGGCTGTACTGGGAACATCAAACCAGAAGGATGCTGGATACATGATGGGAGTGATGGACCACCTGCAAAGAAAGACTTGTGTGAATCAGGACAGGCTCCTGACCCTGGACTGTACTGGTAAAGGAAGAATGTTAGAGCCTCACCCATAGAGCAGGAACAGGGAGAGGACAGCTGGGAAGTTGGTGGGGGAGGTGTAGGCTGGCAGGTCGAACACAAACAAGATGATGACGCAACATGTGGCAGGTACCAGGTAGTTCAGCTGCAGACAGAGGAGACAAGGAGCTGAGCTGAAATGATCTGATCTGGACGCAACAACAGCAGCAGCAGCAAAAGCCCCTGAGCCTGTGGCAGCGGCTGCACTCTGTCCTGCTCACCATGTCCCAGATGTAGTTGGCCAGCCAGTAGATGACGGGGTCACAGCCGCTGACGAACTGCAGATGTTTGGCTTTAGTGGATTTCTCTGCAACCAGGAAAACCACAAAGCTGGCAGGAACGAAGGACATGGCAACAATAATGAAGATGGCGATCACCACGTCGGTGCCCTGCAGCCTGCAGACACAGGGGGACCAGTATGAGCACACCCATTCTATTATTTTACTCCAGCCTGATAACCTTTTGCCACATGTCTTCCCCCTCTCATTGTCCACTTTTCTGTCCGACCATTTCAAATAAAGATCACTAGGACCAACAAAAACTTAAAAAATAGAATCGATTGTCACTTAGAATTGAGGACATCCTGGAGATTACCATCACTCTAGTACTGTACTAGGTTGATGACCTTGATAGCCAAATATCTGATGGTAAATACTGTTTTCTTACTGTTAAATATCATACACACTGCTGAAAGTGGAGGGTTTTTACCCCTTGTTCTGATTTTTTCTGAACTAATTTAAACTTTATTACTCCTCACTGAAATACTTGAAATGTGTATATGAAACCAGATTTCAAGTATCTGTTATAAAACTTGCTCCATCATTACTGTTATGTGCTTGCAGTATTAAACCCATGCTCGTTTCGTTTTTCCCCTGTGTTCCACTGTTCCTTGTACTTCAACTAGGGCTGTTGTAA